CCAGCTTAAAGTTACTGTGCAATAAATTACTGCACAGTAAGTGGGAAAAGGCTGCTGTCTACATGTGCAGGTGTTAAAGCACAGTAATGCTGTGTGTGGGCTGACTTCGTGAATCAGTAACTAACCTGATTAGCAACTGCACATTAACACGCATATAGATGCCTTACTGCGCAGTCACACTGTGTGTGGACTGACTTGGGACTAACTTTAGTTCGAAGTCAGTCCACACACAGTGTGACTGCGCAGTAAGGCATCTATATGCGTGTTAATGTGCAGTTGCTAATCAGGTTAGTTACTGATTCACGTCGACACAAGTCGCCACATTTACTATACAGTATGGGTGTACATGTGTAGATGCACACCCATACTGTGCAGGAATTTTGGTTACTGTGCAGTTAAACGCGCAAGACAGAAGTGCCCAGTATGTATGAACAGATCCAAGAATATGAGACTCTCATTATCCTAGAGATTTTCAACTACCATCTATCTCCTGCTGGTTACTTGGTTGTAGAAGTCACAGGTTTCAAACACAGTTTAAGTCTTGTCTGCAGCATTGAAAATAAAGGACAAAGGCAGGATAAAAGTACAGGAATTTTAATATAAAAGGGCACTTTTCATGACCTAAATTTCATGAATTATAGGGCCCAACATGAATAATGTGCAGTAAACTAAAGCAAGCTCCAACTTAGCATTGGACAGAAGGTAACTATAAAACTATATGAACTACACAAGCAAGCTGTAACTATTTCCACAGAGCCTTTTCACCAATTTCTGATTTTATTGATCTGAGGTCTCTATTTCCTTCTTCATGCTGTTTGCTTGTTTTTTTAAAAGAGAAGTAGTAGTAGTAACAGTCCTTAAAAGGAAAAAGAGCAGGGGAAAGGGCAGGCAATATATGGTTGGGACCATGTACATCTATGCAATTCTATAAAAAGCAAAAATACCATACTCCAGATTTAAAAATGAATGCTTGAAATGCTTAGTTCACGTAAGGTTCCTAAGATCAGATATGTGGGACTGATATGTGTGGAAAACCTGGAATCATTAATAGCTTTTTGTTCTCCTTTTTTTTTTTTGCACTGAGTTTCCCACTTTTCCCTGTAACCTTAAGAAACATATCATTTAGTCAATAACTTATTTTCTCTTCCTTACTTTAGGACACTATATGCTAGGCCTGTGCGAAGTGGCTAGCCATAGAATCACAGAAGTAGGGTCAGAAGGGACCTTGTAGATCTTCAAGTCCAACCCCCTGCCTGGGCAGGAGAAAACTGGGCTCAAATGACTCCAGCCAGGGGGTCATCAAGCCTCTTCTTAAAGACCCCCAGCGTAGGAGCCAGCACCACTTCCCTTGGAAGCTGGTTCCAGATCCTAGCCGCCCTGACTGTGAAGGAGTTCTTACGGACGTCTAATCTAAACCTACTCCCCAACAACTTATGGCCGTTATTCCTTGTTATGCCAGGGGGCGCTAGGGGAAACAAGGTCTCCCCCAAACCCTTCTGGTCCCCCCTAGTGAGTTTATAGACGGTCACCAGGTCACCCCTCAGCCTTCTCTTGTGAAGGCTGATCAGGTTCAGGTCCCATAGTCTCTCATTGTAGGGTCTGCC